TTTCTTGCTTGGTTCAAAAACCATTTCTACTCGGTTAAAAAACCGTTTCTTGCTTGGTTCAAAAACCATTTCTACTCGGTTAAAAAACCATTTCTGCTTGGTTCAAAAAACCATTTCTACTCGGTTAAAAAACCGTGTCTTACTTGGTTAAAAAACCATTTCTTGCTCGGTTAAAAAACCGTTTCTGCTCAACTGGCTTGGTCGTTTGACTGTAGCCACGCAAAACTAGCTCGGTCATTTGACCGTAGCAACTCGACTTAATCGATTAAAAAACAATTTCTTGCTTGGTTCAAAAACCATTTCTACTCAGTTAAAAAACTGTTTCTTGCTTGGTTCAAAAACCATTTCTACTAGGTTAAAAAAACCGTTTCTACTCGGTTAAAAAACCGTTTCTTACTTGGTTAAAAAACCATTTCTTGCTCGGTTAAAAAACCGTTTCTGCTCAACTGGCTCGGTCGTTTGACCGTAGCCATGCAAAACTAGCTCGGTCGTTTGACCGTAGCAACTCGACTTACTCGGTTAAAAAACCGTTTCTTGCTTAGTTCAAAAACCATTTCTACTCGGTTAAAAAACCGTTTCTTGCTTGGTTCAAAAACCATTTCTACTCGGTTAAAAAACCGTTTCTGCTTGGTTCAAAAACCATTTCTGCTCGGTTAAAAAACTGTTTCTTACTTGGTTAAAAAACTATTTCTTTCTCGGTTAAAAAACCGTTTCTGCTCAACTGGCTTGGTCGTTTGACCGTAGCCACGCAAAACTAGCTCAATCATTTGACTGTAGCAACTCAACTTAATCGGTTAAAAAACCATTTCTTGCTTGGTTCAAAAACCATTTCTACTCGGTTAAAAAACCCATTTCTACTTGGTTAAAAACCCGTTTCTTACTTGGTTAAAAATCCATTTCTTGCTTGGTTAAAAAACCGTTTCTGCTCAATTGGCTTGGTTGTTTGACTGTAGCCATGCAAAACTAGCTCAGTTGTTTGACCGTAACAACTTGACTCACTCAGTTGAAAAATCATTTCTTACTTGGTTAAAAAACCATTTCTTACTTGGTTAAAAAACCATTTCTTACTTGGTTAAAAAACCATTTCTTGCTCGGTTAAAAAACCGTTTCTTACTTGATTCAAAAACCATTGCCCCCTCATTCAAAAAAAAAAAATGTTTGAGTTATTTTTATCTTTTCTTTTCATTCTTAACAGAAAGAAAGGAAAAGAGGGGCAACTGCCATAACTCAAATTTTTAATAGGATTTTATTTTTATTTTATTTTAACTAATATATTGTTATCTTTGCTTCTATTGTTAGGTTTATGGGCAAAAAGGGGATTTCGCGAAGAGGATGGTAAAGAAAACGAGAAAAAGGACTCAATTGAAGAAATGAAAAGTTGAAGGGTGAAATGCATTAAAGTTCAACCCAAAACCCATTTACACCTTAAACCCATCTTAAATGGCCCAATTCCAACCCATTTCAATTTTAAGCCTTAAGCCAAAAAAAAACCAAAATCAAATCCAAAAACCCAAGCCTACCAACTACCCAAGCCCAAAATCCCAATACCCAAAACCCAAACCCAAACCCAAACCTGTTTAACCTAACAAAAAAAAGTGAAATAAAAATGGGTCTAGAACCTCCTTCCCCAGGCACCCGGCCTTCCCCCTGCTGCTGCACTGAACCCGCCCCTGCTCCCGCACCAGATCCCCTCACCCTGCGCACCCCAGCGCCTTGAGCCCGCGCCCCGCGCCCTAAGCCCGCGCCTTGCGCCCTAAGCCCGCGCCTTGCGCCCTGCGCACCAACACCCCTGCTCTGCATCCTCACCCGAGCCCGGCTTGCTGCCTACACCTGCCCTGCACCGCACCCTACCCCCTATCACCGAACTAGCCATCATCACACCCTCGCACACCTGCAACCTACCCTGCACCCAGCCGACTCCGCCTCCCTTCTCCTACACCCGTCGAGCCTACAGCAGCCTACACCCCCCCTCTGCGCCACCCCTCTTCTGCAACCAAATCTCTCTGCGCCACCCTTCTTCTGTAACCGGATCCTGCACCCCACGTGGCAGCCAACTGAGCATGATGGTAGACCAACGTCCTTTAGGGTTTCCTTTGATTTTTGTATAAATAGGTGGTGTTAGGATAGCTAAGGGGGGTTGTTTTGGTTCTGGTGTTGACGGCGGAAGAGTCCTTCTGTTTTTTTTCTGGTGTTGCCGGCGAAGAAAAGGAAAAGTTTTCTGTTGAAAGGGGCTCGAGTTTTATACCGGAGGTTGACGGAGGGCTTATTGGCTGTGTTTGCTTTTGTGTAGGTAATTTTCTGAACAGGAAAGTTTTCTGGGAATGGTGGTGAAGGGGACGATGGGAGCCTGGTCCCGTGGGTGGGATCCCTCCTATCAGATCTGGCTCTATTTTTCCCAGAAAACTTTGCCGTTGATCTGTTTGTTGATTTTTCCTTTGTATTTTCATTTAATGTTTAAGGTTATATGTATTTTTCTTGAGAAAATGAATGAAAGATTATTTGCCTGTTTAGTTGCCTGACGAATCTGTGAATCTGTTCATCTTTTGCTGGAAATGAGATGCATTCATGATGAACCCTAATTAAAATTTTTTTTCTGTTTGGTGTTTGATCTGTTTTGCTCGTTTTGGGTTGAGAGGTCGTGTTTGTAGGTCAGGTCG